ATTTTTTTAAAATTAAACACTATCTAAAGATTTGCATCGAAGCGTTTATTTTTGATAGTGATTTTAATCACTGTCAGATATCATTATACTTGATCCAACTATACCACGTCACAACTGTGCCGCGACCCCCCTGTGCTGGGTTTTTTTTTTTTTAGTTATTGTAACAATATAATTTTTATTTATTCATTCAAATTCAAGTAAAAACCTTATATTGTAAAACAGTTCAAAACAAACATGCCTTAATTATTTTTAAAAAGATGTGTCATTATTTGTTTAATATATTTAAAAATATTTCAATAAAAATTACTCAACCATTGCTATATTTTTTAAATCTAGGGAAATCAATTTGCCTCACTCTCGCCTATATATTTTTTTCAATAAATAACTGTAAGAATATTTATGTTTTTATAAAACTACATAAAATTAAGTAAATTCGCAATATACGTAATCAAAAGATAATAAGCAATAAATAGTCGTATTTCAATCTTGGTTATTAATAATAGGTTTTAAAAAAGAAATATCTTTATACTTAAAAACTAGAATAATGTAATTTAAGTTTTCTAGAACTAGAGTATTTTAAATAGGATTGTTCTCAAAACAAACTTGAAACTTTTAGGTTTTTAAGAAATATAACATAATAAACTTCCTAAAATAATTGTTTTATTATTGAAGTTCTAAATAATTACCTAAGAAATTATTTTCAGTGAAAGGTTTAAAGTTATTTCATTTGCAATACAGTTCCGAAAATATGGAATACGTGTAACATTTTTTTAATAAAAAAATCTGAATTAAACAAATACATAAAATTATTGTTGCTTTATTTCAATAGACAACTATAGTAATTTGTTAAAATTATTTTAGTTTAAATTTAAAATTTTTATTCATATTTAATTTTTACATGAAATATTTCATTAATTTGAAATACATTTTGATATTTTCCGATAATTTTTTGTAATTTTTATTGTTTTATGAAATTATAAATAACTACTAGAAATAACCTATACTTAAGTCTGATGTTAGTGAAATTTGAGAAGTGTTTTTTTTTTTACTTTATTAATCATCCAACATTGAAATTCAACTTGGTGACCATGTACTTTACTGTTAATAGTTCTAATATACGAAGACATCAAAATTAATTTATTCAATAATTTTCACTGATTTTAATCTTATTATTTTATTTTATATTTAGGATATCCAAATAATAATTCAAATTCAACTTTGTATATACACTTTGTGGAGAAACGTAATTATCATATATTTATGAATTTGTAGTGTACACTAAGTTATTTTCAAATTTGAAGGAATTAATTTTATTAAGACGTGTTTTTTTTTTTGTATCTCTTGCCTTTTATTCACAGCTCTAACTGAGCAGACTTTTTTCATTGATATCAAAACAACACAAATCGTATCTAGTTAAAAACATTTCCCTTAAAAATAAAAAAAAATTTTTCGTTCTCCGTAAATAGGAAAATCTTCAAAAAATTAATGTTTTTAAAAATGAGATTTTTGACATTTTTAAAATTTATTTTATTTAAAACTTACATTCTGAAAAATATATAAATAAAAACAATTTATTTACCTTAGGTATTTACCTATCATTTGGTATACTTTTTTTGAAAATCTAACTCTTTAGCTGCCCAAAACAGTGAAATCTAATGGAAAGTTAACTTTTGCAACTTAGAAATGTTCCAAAAATACTCCAAGTTTAAACGTATATTAAATAAAAGCTTTATATTAGCTTATAAGGTACAAAAAAAAAATTACCATACCTTTTATGTACAAATAGTTTTATAATTGAACAAAAATTTAATTCTAATGTAAAATATTGCGTTGTTATTATTGCTTAATACTGCCATAATTTGTTGAAATATGAATAAATCAAAATACATTTTAGCTTCGATGCAAAGCTGAGAAGGTATTGGTTTTACTATGATGTGTTTTTTTTTTTTTT